GAGACAGTTATATATAGCCTGTATTACATCAGTAGCTGATTATGAAGTTCAAGTTTGATGAAATAATTAAGAGAATTTCACTGAACTCTTTCAAAGTCTGTAAAACAGAGTCTTGAGAAGAATTCTGAGAGCATTCAAATCATCTTCTATTAAAGTAATGGAAATTGAAGCTTCAATTCCTTCTTCTGCTATTAGATTTGAAAAAGCCTGTATGAACTATGCTCTGAGAATTGTAAAGATGAGCTCAAATCATATAATCAGAGAAAGAGTTTCTTCTTCATTTTCATCAATTAACTCTGGAAATGAACTGGATTGGAATAGATTTCTTGATTGAAATGAAAATAATTCTTTAAAGAAAATGTCTTCTCAACTGTACAGACTATGCTCTCTGATTAAAAATCAATTTTCTTCTTTAAATGTTGAAAAAGTTGATCATGAGAAGTTATCTCTCTGAAGAGAAAAGCTTGAATCTCTTATAGACTTATAAATAAGTGAACTATCAAAAGAGAAAGAATATGAACAGCATTTGAAGAGAATTTCTACAATCAATATAAAAGACTCTATTCTGATTTATTCAGATGACTTAAAAAATGAGAACTTGAATAGATTAGATACAGGCATTGCTTATACTGAAGATAATATTAATTTTATCTCAGATTTCTGAAATCTAGGCTCTGAATGTGAAGTCTTTGATGCTGAACTATTTATAATAGTGAAAGCTTTCAAACTCATTGAAATAAAATCTCATAAAAGAGGAAATTGTTTGAAAGAGATATGAATATTCTCTGATAGTCAAGCTGCTTTAAAAAGACTTAGAAATAGTCAGATTCATAATAATCAAATGAATCTTGAACTGATCTTAAACTCTGTTTTGAAAATTCAAAAGAGAAGAACATCAAAGCTGATAATTCATCTACACTGAGTTCCTGCTCATATGAATATTCATGGCAATGAATTGACTGATTCAGCTGCAAAAAAGAGTGCAGAATTAAGCAGATCTATTCAAAAAATTATATTCTGGTCTTTTATAAAGAGAAAAATAAAAGAATCTTGTTTAGACAAGTGAAATGAAAGCTGGCAGAAACAAAAGAAGAGTATACATTATTCAAGATTTGAAACAAAACTCAAGTGGAAATCTTGTTCAATTAAATGTAAAAAGAAAATATTCTCATCTATAATACAGCTGAAACTAGGACATGGCTATTTCAAATCTTATATACAAAGATTTGATGATAGATTTAACTCAATAGAATGCTCATTCTGCAATACAAATGAGAATTCTGAGCATATTGTAATACACTGTGCATTATACAATAGTCTCAGAGCCAGATTGAAAGAGAAGTATGATCTAAATCAATTAAATATGAGATTCTTATTCTCAACTGAGATGGGAATTAAATACTTAATAGACTTTCTATCAGAAACTCAAGCAGCTACAAGAAAATGACTAAATTCAGAATTATCTGAATATGAAGAGGAGGAAATTAATCAGATATAGTCTGTTAAAATAGCTATACACTCTCTTTTAATAATTTGTTTTATTACAGTCTCTCTTTACTTTATCTTTTTCTTTATCTTTTTCTTTCAATTTCTTTCTATCTATCTATTTAATGTGTCTATCTTTGAGACTGTGTTCTTTTTCTCTTTTCTTTTGTCATGATATTGTCAAATGATTTCAAAGTATCAAAAGATGTTAAAACACTGTAATTTGTAAACAGTTTTTGTATTCTGGGCTGGAATTTTCTGATTTTGCATATCTGAAATTGATGAATGTATAATAGTTAACTTTACAGACATAGAAAAAACCCTGAGAACTAAAGTTCTCAGGTAGATGTCATAGTCTCTGACTGCATACATCTATAATTGAAGAATAATAATAATAATAATAATCAAGCCTTAGCCCCAGTGGCCGAATGGTTAATGCGGCCACCTGGTAGCACCTTGGCGTGGGAAACCAAGGCGCGTGGGTTCGAAACCCGCAGGGGATACATTAAATCCGGAACTCAAGCACCTCAGGTTCCTAATAAATACAGAGGTGTACAAATCGCTCCAATAAAATCGCTCTATGTTCCTGGGCTGGGAAGTTATTATCGCATGTATCTAATTGTCACTCCTTTGTATTTCCTATGTTCTTGTTATCTTGGCGTGGTCTCAACACCTGTATTTCCTCCTGTATAACCAACACTTGGCCTGTATTTAACATCACGCAAGGACTCATCATAAGCTCCGCTTGCATATGAGTTTAATGGAAGAATAATAATAATAATAATAATCAAGCCTTAAAAAAATCTGAAAATGAATCATTTCTGAGAGAAATGATGTGAAAAATGACCAGATTTAATTCAAGAATAGTGAAATGAGAGAAATTTTCCAGAATAAACTATTAAAGATGATTTATTCTTTCAAAATCAGAATAAGACTAAAATCTGAAGATTAAAAATCAGTCTCATTCAGTGTCACGTCCTCTGGCCGCGCCAAGACTCTGCTGCAGTTTCACACGAGTTCATCACTTTCATGTGAATGATTTCATTCATTCCGCAGACTTGTCTGAATCTGGTTTTCAATCACTCTATGACATTATATAAATGTATCATAGAAAGATCTGATTGATGAATATGAGAATTCTGCTTCTATATGAGGTCAGCAGATTACTTTTTCTTAGCAGTGAGATGCTGCTGAGGTATTACTCTGACTATTCTCACTTATAAAATAAGAGAAGAGTATTCATCTATTATCTATATAGAATAGCTAGATACTGACTTCTATAAAAGAAATTAGTGATTCATTTTTCTTCTACTGAAATATATATAAGAGTTACTATATATCTTATACAATCTTCTTAGTATACTAAGTATTATATCTGTAATATTCTCATAATAACTCTGTAGTCTATGAGCTCACTATTTAAGCAAGATAGTCAAGCTCACTTATACAGCTTCTTAAATAACTATCTTTATATAATACTATTAACTAGTCACTGCTTTAATTCTGTTATATTACAATTTGAATTGCTAGATCTGATTATAAGTTTGAATCAGTTAAGCTTTAACAGACTGATATGATCTCATACATCTGTACTGAGACTGACTCAATCTCACTCTCTGGAAAAAACACTATATTATCTTCTAGAGTATGTATATCTCTATCTCAGCAGAAATCTGAGATTTCTGAACTCACTGCATATTTTGACATGAGCTCTTCAACTGCTCTATTATTATCACAGTCTTCACACATCTATATCTATCATGAAGATAGAGAGATTAAGATTAGAGATTCTCTAAGATATAAGAAAAATACATTATCTGAATTTCACAGCTTTATTCATACTCTTAAACAGAAATTCCATTTTAATCTGAGTCAGTATAATACTTATAAGATATGAGTAATATACACTGTTAACCTTCTTGAAGACATCTCTGCAACTACTTAAGTTATTAAGAAAAGAGAGCTTGAGTGTACTGATACTGTAATAACTTAAGAAGAATTCAAGAACTTTCTACTGAATTAAATTGAAGATCACTGCAACTGCAGCTTCATAGCAGTACAGTGATTCAACTTATTATATTAATAAGATAATGAGAATTCTTCTGATTTTAATACAAGATTTAAAGAATATTAAGAGAAATTAATTAATGATTTGAATCAATTAAAAATACAGCTTTATCTTATAAAGCTAACTTATAAGATGTGAACAATAATATCATAATATCAGAGTTCATCAATTAATCACACTAAGCTTGTCAATCTGACTTCTCAGATCTATTTGAATAATCAATTCTATGAGAAAAAGATTAATAAGATCTCTTTTAAGTAATTAATAACAGAATCTAAACAGTGCTGTGATAGCTTCAGTGTAGAGAAAGTAAAGAAGAATTCTAAGTATTCTGATTCTTCACTCACTGTGAAGAAATATTAAAAAAGATTTGATGAAGATCTCTATTTTAACTACAGAGCTGATAATCATTATATCAGTGATTGTAAAAAGCTGAAGAAGAAAAGAAACTAAGAAGATATCTTCTCAAAGTTAACTTCTCTTCTGACAAATGTATTCATAGAAGATAAAGAAGAGAAAGAAATCAAGACTTAATAATTCTCATATCTCTGAGTTCATGTTATAATTATAATACATACTCTGAATGAGAAGATATCAGTGAGATATCTACTTGACTTTAAGATAAATATTAACTTCATATTCTATTTCTTTTCTTTGATAAAGAGTTGAAAGAAGATAGATCTGTCAGATCATATGAAATTTACTGATGAAATGAAATATTACTATTGTAACGTGGCGGAACCGAAGCAGTGGCTAGTCAGCGGCGACATGTAGAGGTAGTTGTTTGAGAAGCTGTATAAGTGAGCTTGACTATCTTGCTTGAATAGCGAGCTTGTAGGCTACAGGGTTATTACAAGGATATCACAGATATGATACTTAGTATACTAAGAAGATTGTATGAGACATGCAGTAACTCTTGTGTATATTTCAGTAGCAGTAAAATGAATCACTGACTTCTTTAATGAGGAGCCAGCATCTAGCTATTCTATATAGATAATGGGCGGATACTCTCCTCTCATTTCACAAGTGAGAATAGCTGAAGTGATACCTCAGTGATGTCTCATTATCAAGAAAGAGTAATCTGCTGATCTTGTATAGAAGTGAGGTTCTCATATTCATCAATCAGATCTTTCTATAATACATCTGCATGATGTCATAGAGTGGTTGAAAACTGGTTCAGATGAGATGAAATCATTCACATGAAAGCAATGAGCTGTGTGAAACTGTAATAAGGTCTTGGCACAGTCAGAAGCATGACAATGTTCTTCTCTTTAAGAGCATAGTCTCTATGTTCTCAAGATTATCAGATTAGGAATTATCTTTGTTGTATAGCAACAGTTATCAACTGATTAACAGCATATGTGCTGTGTATGATACAAAGAAATAGATGAGTTTTTCTGCTGACTGTGTAGGTCTTTCTTTTCTCATCTTCATTCAAACCAAACACATGATAAGTGAGTTCCTTATATATTGATTTGAAATGTGGAAAATGTAGTTAACAAGTGACTTGCAGATCTCTCAATATATTTCATTCTATATATGAAATTTCCTGCAAAAGTGATGTGTTTTAGAGGCAAAGCTAACAGTAGTGACAGAATTTTTCTGAAAAGATCTCCCTTCTCTCATGATACATTTTTCTCCCCCCCCCCCATCTGCAATAGTGAGTGCATGGGAGCATCATTCTTGAGAGACAATAAGAGGCTTATTCTGACATTTTCTAGTGAGTAATAAACATCTTCATGATGCGGCTGCAGTCTCCATGACTGTCAAGAAAGCCAGGTTGAAGGCAGCAGTGTTAATGAGCTGTGGGAGCACCGCTCCCATTGCCACATCTCCTCCTGCTTCTCTTGCAACTGTGGTGGTTCTGCTGGTTGGTGCATCTGTGTCCAGTTCATCCCCTGCCCCCCTCACTGCTGTTGCAACGCTGCCCCCCCTCTCAGCCAATACAGTAGCATATGACCCCATGTGGTCATTCAGAGAGGAACCTGGGAAGAGCTTGATTTCAGAGACAGTGACTCTGAGAAGCTTAATCTGTAGTTCCCCTTTCACAGCATATCTGAGCCCTGCTCAGAATGCTGCTGAGTTGAGTCTGCAGAGTTCTACAGTTTCTTCATCTTCTCTCTGTGAGAAGGCTTTAGTACAGTCTCTGGTCAGCACTGCTACTTATCTGCACTACATCAAGCAGCTGAAGAAGAAGAGGATTTTATACATCTGCTTCTTCTCTCACTCTTATTATTTTCATTGCATCTGCAACAACAACTTCTGTCTCTCTGTAAGTATTATCTCACAGGAAGATGTTGTGTTGATTCTGATAAGAAGTCTAGATACTCAAGCAGTACAGAGTGAGAGTCTCAGAGCTTCAAGTGTTGATAGATTTCATCAAGGCTGAAGAGGTTTCTCTTGCTCATCTGTAAAAGAAGGTAAAAGTGTGAGTTTTCAAGATGAAAAAACACCTCAGAATGACTGATCTTAAGAAGAAGTCAGTCAGCACTGCTGTTGAAAGTGTCACAGAGATCAATTACTGATTGAAGAGAATCTCACTTCAACTGAAGCAGATAACTGAGATGCTTTGTAAGTTGATAAGTTGATATTTTATACATTTCTCATACTCTTCTGCAGTGCTGCAGCACTAACTTCTCAACAGACAAAGATGTCAGTGTCAGAGACTCTCACAGTGAAGAATGAGTTTGATGAGAGTATAGTTATTGATAAGTAGGCTCTGAGATTCTCTCTTTTTACTTTTTTGATGAGCTGCAGTCTCATTAGATTAGCAGCAGTCTGTGAGTTGATTAATATTAATCTTTTTATTAGTTTCAAATATTTCTTTCTTTTTCTTATTAACTGCTTCAGGAATTTTACACTTGTATAGTCTCATTAAACTTCTAAAAAACTCTTTGAGAGAAAATAGAAGAAGAGTGCTACAGAATCTACAAGATGCTGGCTCATCACTGTGAGATTATCTCTAAAAAACTCTTTGAGAAAAATGAGAAGTCTTAAGTAGTATTTCTTACTCAACATCTCTGACATGTAATGAAGTGATCTCTACTAGCTGTCTCATAGGTTGCAATCTCTTTCTCAGTATTTTTCAAATGCTCAAGCAATTCTCACAAATTCTCTGATGATGAATAATCTTCTCATTTAATGAGATATTGAAGCTTGCTGTAATGTGTTCACTTGTTCAATATTTTCTTCATAAGATATTCAGTATCACTCTCAATCTTGATATCATCTGACTGAGACAGCTTCATCTCAGGACATTGCTTATAGAGCTTCAAATAGAAAATGTGAAAAACAGAATGAATTGATTTCAATTCTGTGAGTAATTTCAACTTATATACCTACTTACTCATCACTCTTGTTACTGAGAAAGATTCTAGTCATCACTCACTGAGCTTCTTACACAGTCTCATTGTCTTGATGTTCTTTGCTGAAAGTAGCACTTGATTCCCTATTAAGAACTTCATTGAAAGATGTTTTTAATTGTAGTATTTCATCTGCTGCTTCTGAGTGCAGTGAATACTTTTCATCACCTTCTTATGAATTTTATTCAAAAGTTTCAATCTCACTTTTACTTCTGATACTGAGAGATACTCTATTCTCTGTATCTGTCTGACATTCTGACTGCTTATTCTTTTCTTTGAAACATCATCTGTGATGTCACTGAGTAATGAAGGATTATATTTATAATAAGCATAGAAAGAAGATATCTTTAAGATTACATTCTTTACATTGTTATATATGAATTCAGTGATCAGAAGATGTTTGAGTCAATTATTCTGATGATATGAACAGAACACTTGAAGATGCTGTTCTAGTGTCTGATTCTGGTGTTCAGTCTGATCATCAGTCTGTGAATGAAATACAGTACTGAGAAGACATCTTATTGTAAGATGATAGTAAAAAGCTGATCAGTACTTGCTGATAAAGAGGAATTCTTGATCTGTTATCAATGATTTCAGAGCACTGTGATCATGAATGATGATATCTAAAAACAGGTCAGTCAATTCAGAGGCTTTAATCTTTTTATAAGTAGAGATATATCTGATCATCTTTGTGAAGCAGTCAACAATGATCAAAATTAAGTCATATTCTTTGACTCTTGTTGACTTCAGCAGGTCAACTATGAAATTCATTGATAGATTCTGTCATGAGCTCTTTGAAACAGGCAGTGATGCTAACTCACTGTATTGCTTATACTGTGAGATCTTTATTCTTTGACAGATATCATAAGTCTTAACATACTCTTTGACATCTGTTCAGAGCTTGTCTTAAGTGTATTTATATTTTAGAAGCTTCTCAGTCTTCTCTAATTCAAAGTGCTCTGTATGAGAATCATCATGATGAATTCTTAATAACTTCTGGCACACTGCCCTGCTATGAGAAATAAAGACTGAACTATTCAGCAGTAGGAGTTCACATTCTTCTAGTTATCAGTGACTTGATTTCTTAGCAGTATTATCTCACTCAGAGCCTGTCTCTTTCAAGTTCAAACTGAATTCTTTCTTCTTTAACTTCTGAATTCAAGCTGCAGTAGAGATGTCTTTCTTCTGTAACTTATTAATGAATTTCAAAAGTAGTCAGATTGAAAGATTGTAGACTGTTTCATTCTTTATCAATTCAATGATTGTAAGATATGACACAAGAAGCTCATAATCTTCAGTGTCAGTTCTCTGTGAGAATCTGGGTTCTCTTTCACCTTCTATACTGAGTCACACAGCTGCCTCTTCAGCGCTGTTCCCAAGCTTTAGAGAATCTTAACTCCCTGCAGCCAGCTTCTTCTACAGTGATGACAGAGATTCTTTTATAGAATTCTTCTCCACATCAATGATATTATAATCAGGCTGTCTAGACAGTATGTCAGCAGGGTTAAGCTGACCTGGACAGTATCAGATATAGAAATCATACTCTGAAAGCAGCTCTGCTCATCTGGCTTGATATTCTGTCAAGCTCTTTGTTGTCAAGAAGTAATGCAGATTTGCATGATCAGTGAGAACTTGCACTAAATACTTACTACTCTGAAGATAATATCACCAGATCTTAAAGAATTTGATAATTGCTAACATCTTCTGATCATGAGTATCATATCTTCTCTGCATGAGTGATAACTTCTTGAAGAAGAAAGTCACTGATCTTCATTTACAGTGTCTTGTAGACTCTGTGAAAAAGTCTTCTCTCACAGACAATTCATTGCCTGTTTTCTCAGAGATGATTATTCTCTGATTCTTTCAACATTGAAAGGTCTCTGATGTCAACTATGAAAAGATTCCACAGATTTCATTCTCAGATGCATCAGTCTCACACTGATTAAGTAAGTCAGGATTAAAGTGATTCAGTATTATAACATCTATGAAAGCTTGTTTCAATTCTGCAAATGTCTGAACAGTATCTTGAGTGAGAATAAATGATTCTGTTTTCCTGTCTTTCACACTTCTCTTCAACAGATCTGTAAGGGGGACAGTAATCTGTGAATATGTATAGATGAATTGTCTGTAGAAATTTGTAAATTCTAGAAACACCTGCACCTCACAGTACATTCATGATGTCAGCCAGTTCTCAATGATAAAGACCTGACTTCTGTTCATTGAAATGTCATTCATCTCAACAATATAATCTAAGAAATCAATCTTCTGCATGTAGAATGAGTATTTTTCAGTGTTTGTATAGAGTTGATACTGTCTCAAGCAACTCAATACTTCTCAAACATGAGTATTGTGTTCTTTCTTCATTTTTGAGAAGATTAAAATGTTGTCCAGATATACTATGCAGAAGATGTTGACAAGGCCTCACAGTGTCTCATTTATATAGGTCTGAAAGATGACTGAAGCATTACAAAGATCAAAAGATAAAACAAGATATTCAAAATTACTGTACTTGATACAAAAAGCTGTTTTTCAAACATCATCTTTATTAACTCTGATTCTATGATAGACATTCTGTATATCAATCTTCAAGAACATCTTTGCTTCAGATAATTGATTAATCATCTCATCAATTAACAGTAATGAATAGTGATTCTTAACTATCATCTTATTGAGGCCTCTGTAGTCTATGCATAGATGTAGTCTATCATTCTTCTTGAGCACAAAGAGTATAGATGCCTCTGCTGAACTCTTTGATAAATGTATTCAGTTCTTTGATTGTGCTTCTTCAAGATATTTGTGCAGAACATTCAACTTCTTTACAGACAAGTTATAAAGAGGCCTGTACAGCACTGTTGCACTGTCTTCAAGATAAATCTTATATCATATCTTGATGTCAGAAAACTTCACTACTTTTCTTTCTGAAAAGACATTCTTAAAATCTGTAAAGAGATGTTGTATACATTCATCTTCAATAATGAATACTGCTGCTAATCTTGCAGTGAGAGTGATGACTTCTTCATCTGTCTTTAAGTTTCAATCACCTGCTACACAGTATATTGACTTAATCTTTTTCTCAAGATTCTTCTGATGAAACTCTTCAGATTCCTCTATCACTGTCTCTTCATTAGTGAGATGATATCATCATGTCTGAGTGACTCAGTCAATGAGAGAATTGTTTTCTCTCAATCACAGAAGATCTAGAATGATATTCTCATCTATAATATTGACTGTGTGAAGAAGCAGACTGCTTTTCTTGAAGATTTCTTCTGAGTCTGTGATCACACACTTCACTTGAATTATGTCAAAACAGTGACATTTCATTTTATCAGTAAATTTCACATGATCTGATGAATCTATCTTCTTCTAACTCTTCATCAAAGAAAAGGAATAGAATATGAAGTTGATATCTGTTCTGAAGTTGAGTAAGTATCTCACTGATATCTTCTCATTCAGAGTATGTATTATGATTATAATATGAACTCAGAGATATGAGAATTATCAATTCTTTTCTTTCTCTTCTTTATCTTTTATGAATACATTTGTCAGAAGAGAAGTTAATTTCAAGAAGATATCTTCTCAGTTTCTTCTCTTCTTCAGCTTCTTATAATCACTGACATAGTAATCATCAGCTCTGCAGTTGAAACAGAGATTCTTGTCAAATCTTTTTTAATATTTCTTTATAGTGAGTGAAGAATCAGAACACTTGAAATTCTTCTTTACTTTCTCTGTACTGAAGCTGTCATGATGCTATTTAGATTCTATTATTAATTGCTTAGAAGAGATCTTGTTAGTCTTTTTCTCAGAGAATTGATTATTTAAATAAATTCAGAAAGTCAGGTTGACAAGCTCAGTGTAATTAGTTAATGAACTCTGATATTATAATATCATTGTTCACATCTTATGAGTTAGCTTTGTAAGATAAAGCTGTATTTTTAATTGATTCAAATTATCAGTCAGTTTCTCTCAATATTCTTCAAATCTTGTATTGAAATTGAAAGAATTCTCATCATCTCATTAATATAATAAGTTGAATCACTGTACTGCTGTGAAGCTGTGATTGCAGTGATCTTTAATTTAGTTCAGTAGAAAGTTCTTGAATTCTTCTTAAGTCACAGTAGTATTGATACACTCAAGCTCTCTCTTCTTAATAGCTCAAGTAGTCACAGAGATGTCTTCAAGAAGGTTGACAGTGTATATTACTCATATCTTATGAGTATTATACTGGCTCAGATTAAGGCAGAATTTCTGTTCAAGAGTACAGATAAAGCTGTGAAATTCAGACAAGATGTTTCTCTTATATCTCAGAGAATCTCTGATCTTAATCTCTCTATCTTCATAATAGATGTAGGTGTGT